TATGTAAAAAGGTATGCAGGAACGAGGCTGGATTGCAAAGTCATGGCTCCTCAGGTCAATGCTGAAGAGATGGCTTTCTTCTGTAAAGAAGTGGCGGTTATCACACACACAAACACACACACACACACACACACACACACACACACATATATATATATATATATATATATATGATAAAGTATAATTTTAAGGTATGCTTTATCTATGGGCTAAAGTTAATAATGCACGCAAACCTACCAGACTCCATCTGAAACATACTAGTAGAAAATAAAAGCATAACCACAAAACTAACTTGGCCATTGATCTTGAAAAGGACCTCCAATCTGTTGTTAACTGGGGCAAGAAATGGCTGGTTTGATGCCTCAAAAACAAAACTGCTCTCTTTTATCCCACCACAGAGAACCCTCCCTGCCTCCCATTAGAATGTTTGATGTTCAACTCCATGAGAACACCTCTCTTCGACTGTTTGGTCTCACATTGTCTGCTGGCCTGAGATGGAACAAATACAGTGAATCAATAGTTTCATCTATCGCAAGGAAAGTTGGTTCTATGTGTCGTACCAAAAAAGTTTTTCTCCCCCAAGTCCATCCTTCAAATCTATAAATCAACCATTTGTCCTTGCATGGAATACTGCTGCCATATATGGTATGGAGCCTCTGCTGTTCGTCTTAAGGTCGTCAACAAAATCCAGAGATGGATATGCAATGTGATTGATCGTGATCTGGCATTTCATCTACAGTCACTCTCTCACAGATGCACCATTGCCTCCCTCTGTCTTTTCTACAAATACTTTCATGGTAACTGCTTCGACAAGCTACTTTTGGTGGTTCCCAAACTGCATGAATTTAAACGTACATCTAGGCTGGCATCTCAATTCCACCCTTTCACTGTTGAAACGGTTAAATGTACCCGTCTCTTCTACTCCAAAAGCTTCATTTCTTGCACTTCCCATCTGTGGAACTCCCTTCCTCTTACTTGCTTCCCTGATACCTTTAATCTCCAAATATTCAAAAGCAAAGTCAATCGACATCTCCAGATGCCTTGATCTATTCCCCATCCTTCTCTTCATCCTTTCCTCTATCACACCTCTTTACTCCTGCTACCCACTCTCTGTAACCCCTTGCGTGCTAGTGGCACTCTCACTTTGCTTGGGGTAAAATGCTTAAAAAAAAAATTTACCTCATCCACATTTAAAAAATGATTAAAAATAATGGAAGCCTTAATAATAAAAAAAGAAAAAGCCAACAGTCAATAATATTAACTCTGAACACGGCCATAATGTGCTGACTGTGTTTGAAAAATGAAACATCCCTATAACTCTAGATACATACACACAACACATACATCCAGTTAAAAAGTAAAAATAATGTAAAATCATCCTTGATAATGGCTAAAAGTATAGCCAAAAGTGCTTGGAATTATAGAACATTTGGACATTTTCTACACACTTTGTGCCCAGAAAAAAAAAAAAACACTTATTGGAACATAAAAGAAATTAAATAAAAAGGTTGGTCGCAGTACTTTGTCTGTTGTCTTTAAGGAAACATATAAAAGAGGGATTTCTGCCTAAATATGCAATATATATATATATATATATATATATATATATATATATGTGTATATTTAGGTAGCAATTTTTCATTGATGCATGTTTCATTAAATAATATAGACAAGTTTTGTCTATTTATTTTAAGTAAGTTCCTTTCATATTGTCTGATAAGCTTAGTAACATTATCATTGAAAGAAGAAAGGAAATTACCATATTGATACATGTTTAAATCCAATCTAAGCTTTTGGCTTACATAAGCCATTATCAAAGATGACAATTACTTTTCAATATATCAACCAATATAAAGACGAAACAATAATCATTATTATAATTTACTGAAGCTTTACAAATTGTATATATACAAGATGCAAGCCACAAGCACATTATTACTAAATCATTGTGCTATCAAATAAGACCTTCATTTACTTCAAAGGAGAATTATACTGAACAATTTAGCTATATTATGATGTAATATGTTATACAGTGCAGTAGTTTTAGTTTGATTTTTGATAAACAATGTATTGTTTATCAAAAATCACACTAAAACATTTTGTCTTATAATTTGTTCCCAGCAGTATTATGGTGTTATATACACTTTTATCTATTTTTTGGTTTTATTAATTATGATCTAACAAATGATCTAAAAAATTTTATTCATTGAGTAACCTTTTTTGTAATCTTTTATAATTTTTTTTTTACAGTTATTACTTATTGAATACAGTAAAAAAAATTGCTTATTTTGCTTGTGATAATTCATAATTAGAATTCTGGCTTGAATTTATTTTCCATTCAGTGTGTCTAGTAAATGGTGTTTCATTAAGACGGATTATATATAAGGGTGTTTCATTCAGATGGATCAAAGTCAGCAGTAAATAAATCAGTGTTATTGGCAAAAATTTATTTATTTCTCTATTAGATCATATTATTTAAGTCATGGCAATTATGTGGGAAAAATAATATTGCCCAAATGTCCACCAAATCTGAAAGAAAAAGAAAAAAAATCATTAGACACTTAAACTTCATATCAAAATCGGTCCAAGATATTGGAACACCCTTTACAAAAATTTATTTGGATTTATTCTTGAAATAGTAAAATTTTCAAGTCAGTAAGCATAAAACCTGCAGAAATTAGGTAATTCTATACATTTTTCAGACAATTTTTAAAGCTAAATGCTCAAAAATTGGTAAAAGATATTTAATCTGATTTTTGGTACCAGTACTCATCATATCAAACAGCAGATTTTGAACTGAGTGCAATGATGATTTTCTCAAAAAAGTGAAAAATCAACTTGCCCTATTTTTCAAATGAACTCACTGGTTCAATCCAAGGACAGAATACAGGTCAGTGCCGATAAACCGCAGTAGTTGGGGTTCAAAACATTTATTCGTGGTTTAGATGGTCCGTGGTTTAGGTCAAAAGTGAGCAGCAATGTCAGGATTGCCAGCTTAAACCACCAAAACAAAGCTTGTCAAGTCCATCCACAAAAATGGGTAATACAGTGGCTAAGCATGCAAAATGCATATTCAATACTAAGAGTTGAATATTGGCAGTTTTGAAAAACATTTATCAAAACTATCCTTTAATTTCACATAAAAATCTGCACCAATGTGAATAAATTTGAAAGACAATGGCCTAAAATGATTCCAGTTGTAAAGCGCCATGTCAATAGATCCATCATCGATGACAGCAAAAGATGGCGGAAATCTCATATGCATGAGATTTTAACATTTTAAAACTAATTGCTCCAAAATTGGTAAGAGCTATGAATCTAATTTTTGATATTAATACTTATCACATCAAACCCAAGCTTTCACTTGGGGTGCAATGTTGATTTTCTGAAAGAGTAAAAAATCAATTTGCCCTGGACAATTTCCTCACAGGTGACTTGCAGTCATAGAGATGCTGACAACATCAAGGACTGAGCATGTGAGTAAAAAGATGTTTTATAGATAATGTAAACAAAAAGAACACTTAGAATCAGAAAAAAACAGTTGAAATTTCTAGGCCACAGTGAGGAAAGAAGGTTTGGAGAATCTGACACTGTTTATATTCATAGCAAGTGGGATATATGAAACTTATGAGAGTATGTAAATGGATATCAAACTAGGGAGTGGAGGGAATAATGAAAAAAAAGTGCTACAGAAGATTGGAAGTTGTAGATAGCCATGTTCAGAAGTGACATGGCAAAGAGAAAAAGTTATTTTAATGAGAATAACATAAAAAAAATAAAAAAGAAGGCACTGAGAATAAAATTAGAGATAAAAACTCTGTCAGACCAAAGTCACTTACTAATAATGGGATGGAAAAAGGAATCAAACTATGTAATAATTATCAATGTGTATTTATTTATATATTTCCTGTCCCATTTGTGGGAAGGGAGGCAAATCAACTTAATAAATTACATTCCTTAGTCATTTTAATAATCTATACAAATAAAATATTTATATCTGCATTTAGACAAAATTAATCCCTGACCAAAATGAACTGTTTAATTAATCAGTTCCTTTATTCCTACATTTCTTAGGTTGCAGTCTTATTTGTTCAAGCCTTTCATGTAAGGTACTCAGATACCTTTGTTTATTAAGTGATTATCTTGCTTCAAATTTGTCTTGAAATAGGCTTTGTCATCACCATCTTTGTGATTCTGTTACTAATCTTTTTCTTCCGAGAAATATTTCCATTTCACTGTCATATTAAACAAAAAAAATAAAAAGATATTTAGCAAAATGTGATTTATACCAGGAATAATCAATGAATCACAAATACTATTGAATGTCTAAAAAATATGAAGTGAACGGATTAATTAAAAAGTTCACTGGCCTCTATTTTGCTGTAAATTCTCTGCTTAATTAATTCAATCTCAATTGTTTCAAGAGTTTTGTATCATTGTGTCTCACTATTAAAACTTTCTAACAATTGCCATCATTTTTGATGACACAGCTACACTAGTTAAAATAATAATTATTAAATATGAAATGAATTTTTGTTTAATGAAACTCAATTAAAATAAATATTGAATGATTTGTTTTCTAAATTTATGTGCTGTTTGTTTATAAGTACTCGGAGAAAACATATTTTTGGAAGTTTTTGTGGCTAAATTAACAGGGTAAGCAAGCCTTGATTTACTTGCTTAAGATATTGAATTTTACTTTTTAAAGTTCTCAATAAGTAACTGGGAAAGTAAAAAGTTCTCAGAATGTTTTCATTTCTTTCTACTTTTTTATTTGCTTTCCTTCTTCTTCATTTTCTTTCTCTTGCTTTCATTGCATTTTGCTTTTGCTTTCTTTTTGTTTTTTCTTGTCCCTTTTTATGACTCCTTCAATCAAGTGCTTTTGTTAGGCAATTTCTTTCTTTCATTATTTCTTTCACTATTGCATTCATTCTTTCATTCTTTCTTTCTTTCTAATTTCCTTCTTTTTTTCAGTAATTCTTTCCTTCCATCTTTTTCAGCTGTGCATTCTTTCTTTCTTTCTTTCTTTCTTTCTTTCTTTCTTTCTTTCTATTTCTTGCTTTTTAATCTACTTTCCTTCCTTCTTTCCTTCTTTTTTCTATCTTTCTTTCTTTCTTTCTTCTTTCCTTCTGTGTAATTTCCTTCTTTTCTTCAATAATTCTTTCCTTCCATCTTTTTCGACTGTTCATTTTTTCTTCCTTTTTAATTTCTTTCTTTCTTTTCTTTCTTTCTTTCTTTCTTTCTTTCTTTCTATTTCTTGCTTTTTAATCTACTTTCCTTCCTTCTTTCCTTCTTTTTATCTATCTTGCTTTTTTTCTTTCTTTTTTCTATCCTTCTGTCTAATTTCCTTCTTTTCTTCAATAATTCTTTCCTTCCATCTTTTTCAGCCGTGCATTTTTTCTTCCTTTTAATTTCTTTCTTTCTTTCTTTCTTTCTTTCTTTCTTTCTTTCTTTCTTTCTAATTTCTTTCTTTTTTTCAGTAATTCTTTCCTTCCATCTTTTTCAGCTGTGAATTCTTTCTTTCTTTCTTTCTTTTTTTTTAAACTACTTTCCTTCCTTCTTTCCTTCTTTTTTCTATCTTTCTTTCTTTCTTTCTTCTTTCCTTCTGTCTAATTTCCTTCTTTTCTTCAATAATTCTTTCCTTCCATCTTTTTCAACTGTTCATTTTTTCTTCCTTTTAATTTCTTTCTTTCTTTCTTTCTTTCTTTCTTTCTAATTTCCTTCTTTTTTTCAGTAATTCTTTCCTTCCATCTTTTTCAGCTGTGCATTCTTTCTTTCTTTCTTTCTTTCTTTTTAATCTACTTTCCTTCCTTCTTTCCTTCTTTTTTCTATCTTTCTTTTTTTCTTTCTTCTTTCCTTCTGTCTAATTTCCTTCTTTTCTTCAATAATTCTTTCCTTCCATCTTTTTAACTGTTCATTTTTTCTTCCTTTTTAATTTCTTTCTTTCTTTCTGTCTAATTTCCCTCTTTGCTTCAATAATTCTTTCCTTCCTTTCATTTTTTTAACTGTGCATTTTTTCTTAATTTTTAGTTTCTTTCTTTTTCTTTCTTTCTATTTCTTCCTTTTTAATCAATTTTCCTTCCTTCTTTCTTCCTTTCTTTCTTTATTCATTTTTGTTGCTTTTTAATCTGCTTTCCTGCCTTCCTTCATTTTTTTGTTTCTTTCTTGCTTGACCCTTTTTCTTCTTTTTCAGTTTCTTTCTTCCTTTTTATTCTTTCCTTGCGCTCTTTCTTTTTTTCTCTTGCCATATTTTCTTTTTTTTTCAAATTCTTTTATTTCTCTGTTATTCAGTTTTCCCTCTCTCTTTCATTCTTTCCTTGTGTCCTTTTTCTTCTTCCTCCCTTCTTTCCTCCCTTCCTTCTGTTCTTTTTTTTCAGTTTTTTTCTTTTTCTATTAGTTTGTTTTCCTCTCCCTCCTTCTCTTTTTTACTTAGATTTTACTTTGGCTATTATTTCTTTTGTTCACTTTCTTCCATTCTTTCTTTCTTTCTTTCTTTCTTTCTTTCTTTCTTAGTTTGTCTTTCTTTCTTTCTTTCCACTTCTGTCTAGCATTTGCCATCTTCTTTCTTTCTTTTTTCTTTCTTTCTTTCTTTCTTATATTTATCCAAAACATTTTTTGTATAACTATCTTTCTACTCCTTCCCCTCTTCAAGGATTAACCAAACTTCTTCATTTTTCAAAAAATCACATTTCTGTTCTTATTTTCTCAGACAGTGCCTTTCTTGGTTTCTTTTCATCTAAAAAATAATTCTTTCATTCTCATTTCTATCCTTCATCAATTTATTTTCATTCTACTTTTACTTTCACTTTTACAACCTTTGTCTATTTTTCAACCAATTACTTGATTCTTACTTTCACTTTTGCTCCTACCATCTACTTCCATTGTCTCCTACCCCTAGGTTAGTCTGCCTCTTGCCCTCACCCCTGCCTGTCTCCTACAGTTGTTTTTCTCAATTTTGCCAAACCATCCAATCATTCAGACCTGGAGACATCTTTTCCTAACCCATCCCACTTACATATTCCGTCTGCCCAGCCATGTCCCCACATATTTTAAAGCACTCAACCCTTTCCCATTGCCTTCTTTGTCCAGGTCTCTTTTTGCTCTTTGCTTCCTCATCCACTTGTTTACCTGTTTCTGGGTCCTGTGAGTCACTCCCTACCCTGTTCCCTAAACATTCCAAACTCTTAGCATCCATCTGTACCAGACGTTTACTTGCATTTTCCCCATTCTCTTTTGCTGGCCCTACTGTCTTCATCCCCCTCCCCATCTCTTATTCTATCATCCAATACTCCCAAAAGTTTCTGCAATACACTGCAGAACAAAAAAGGTAGGGATGGGAGGTGAAAAGCAGAACTAATGGCGTTGTCGTAGTTGTTGTCGCCGCCGCTGTCGTTATTGGCCCTGGCTGTTGTTGATATGCATGAGTGATCAGTGCAATGAAACCTGCCAGACAGTGTCCAGGAGTGGGTGGGGTCTCTTAAGAGGGAGAGGCTGAGAAAAAAAATGTTGGGTAAATGAGCAGGAATTTAGAGTGGGTAAAATGGTTGGGGGATTATGTTTTTTTGGGGTTTTTTGCTGTGCTTTGCTTGTACTGACCGATATTGACATCCCTGTGGCTGGAATTAAGCTTAGTAATTACTGTAAGTTCTACTGGGTCATAGCAGTCATTATAAAATCGAGCATAATTATTAAACCATTTGTACATTTCTGTCTGAATTTCTGGAACGAGGAGTTATCATTATTTACACTAGTTATATTCGAACAATCTTTGTTGTTGTCATCACAATGTTTCAGCCTTTGAGATCTCTGGCCTTCATCAAGTGTATATTGATCTTGGTAACCTACAGGGAATTTGGAAGTGAACTCTTTATTTAATTTATGGCGATGGACTGTTCTCGTTCCATTTCCCATGTCTAGGGATATCATCTAGATTTTATTTTTACTTATTGCGTTCACTGTCTAGATCTTATATTTCAGTCATTGCTTATATTGAAGCCAAGTACACACTGCCCAGCCAAGGGATTGAGCTCACTATTACTATGGCCCAAATCCTCAAACCAATGCTTTTATCCACTAGGCTGTGTACTTGACTCAAAGCAAGCTATAGTGAGTAACCATCTGACATAGCACCTACAGACTTCCATCTCTTTGATCCAATGAAATAGGCTCTGAGGGACAAATGTTATGGTGGTGTTGAAGAAGCGAAAACTGCTGTAAGGAATTGGCTACATTAGCAGCCAGATGTGTTTTATGAAACTGGGATACATGCCTGCATTTGTAGGCAGAACATTGCCACTGAAATAAGTGGTGGATATGTTGAGAAGTAAGGATGTGTACCTATGATGTCTAGATGTATCTTGTTGTATAGGATGCTTGTGTTCCTTATTTCTTATATAATAAAACAAATTGCATTACTTTTTGACTCACCCTCATATAAACAGTCACAGTTTGAATTGAAGGTAGTTGTGATGCTGCCTGTTTGCAGTGTGCAGGTTGTCGATTGAGAGAGTTCCAAGCCACCTGCTAGGGAATTGCATAGCTGCATGTGATGAAGTAGAGATGAGTTGCGGTAGGAGATTGTCCTCATTGATCAAAAGGAAGAGCAAAAGATTTTCCAAGCATCATCCAGCTACTCATCCACCCCTTCCTGCCAGACACTGCAATTGAAACCCTGAATAAATGACCAAATATGTGAGAAACAGGATTCGTGCTTTTCATTTCACACTATGGCATTATGTCTTCTTTTAATACTCTGGGGTGTTCCCTGTTTTTGTGCATCAGTCAGTTATACGCCATGCGTGATACATGCTTAGGGAATCATGTATCTTTCAATACATGACTCATGAGACAGATTTTATCCTGCAGTAGGTTGCCATTTCTTTCTGCGCTAGATCTGCCATCCAAGGCTATAGAACCCAGTCTATCCTGCTATTTAATGCTGGGGTAGAAGAAGAGGATTCATACCTTTCTCAGGGGTATTATAGCACTTGATAAAGACACCAGAAGTGTTGAAACAAAATGGCTATTTTTGTAGTGATTTTATAACATATTTATGCGTGATACATGCTTAGGGAATCATGTATCTTTCGATACATAGACTCATGAGACAGATTTTATCCTGCAGTAAGTTGCCATCCAAGGCTATAGAACCCAGTCTATCCTGCTATTTGCCCATAGCTGGGGGTAGAAGAAGAGGATTCATACCTTTCCCAGGGGTATTAGCTCTTGATAAAGACACCAGAAGTGTTGAAACAAAATGGCTATTTTTGTAGTGATTTTATAACATATTTATGTTATAATTTTCAAATAAATAATTATATTTGCTCTACTCTGTATTGAGCACTCTTTTAAGAATAGTATTTTTTGGTTATTGGAATTTATTTCGTTTAAACCAATCCTATACTTGGGTATATATATATATATATATATATATATATATATATAATGCCTCTCCAATGGAAACGGTTCTATGAGCTCCTCTTCAGCTCGGCCTATGTTGTTTCCAGCTGCATTTACCTCTGCATCAACACTTCTGCACCAAGTTTGTCTTGGTGAACCCACTTTTTTGCTCCCTTTGTAGATTCCAGTCAAGGATCTGCCTGGTGACACTAGAAGCAGGATTGCAGAGTGTGTGGCTGATCTATCATTTTGTTTCTTAATGTCAATCTTGATTGGGGCTTGACTTAGTCATCAGAAGAGTTGTCAGTGCACTGGCTTCCCTGGGGGGGGGGATTTCACCAGCACGCATCATATGCTCCATTTTGGAGGACTCTTCCTCTGCTTTATGTTATAAGCAAATTCTCTTTTGTAACGTCTGAGTCCTTTTTTTAATTTTCTCTTTTTGATTCTATTTTTTTTCCTTCGTCCATTTTACAGTTTCGTGTCAGTGATATCAATGAGTCAAAATATACAGACTACTCAGAGAAATTAATGGAATTTAAGAAAGAAAAAGAAAAGGAAAAATAGACCAAAGATATATACCAGGTGTAACATCATAATTGTCCAAATCGTGTAACAGCAAAATTTCCCAATTTTTAGATTAAGCTCTGAACCATTGTAAGAAATGATTAAAGATATCTTACTGGAAATCTCCAAGAATTTAATAACACTGTTGGACTCTAATTTGAGCAATAAAATGTATAATTACTTTCTAAGTGTAACAGAAGAATTGTGATGAAATCTATCATAAATGAAAATGACATGTTCATCATTAATTAATCGTAGCTAATGATTGAAGCTCATGAAGTATTGAAATAAAATTATATATATATATATATATATATATATATATATATGAATTTTATTTCGATACTGAATATATATATATATATATATATATATATATATAATTCCAGGATCATTTTATAATATATTCAGGATGATCCTCACTCTCTCTAACTTTCTAACTTCCAGTCCTGGAGTAACAAGTTGCCTCACATGTTTCACGTATGATTTCATTTTCAAGTCTTTTTTCACTGCAGCTGAAACTCCTCTCTCACATGCCAAACATCTTATGGATTGAGTTGGATCTTTTCTAATTGATCTCTTTAGCTCTAACTTGAAATGATGATCCCTCTTCCTTTTATGACCTACTGTTCCAGTTTTCCTCTCTACTGTTCTCTCATTTTTAAACTTATTCAACGTTCTCTTAACGGTTCTTGAATAGACTTTGAAGATGGAAGCCAGAGTATGAATGTTGGTACCATGACTGAAGGACTGAATGATCTTTTTTCCTCTCACCATTGCTCAGTTGGTAAGATATAGTAGAGCTGACACTAAACGATTTTGAGGTTTCTTGAATGGACTTTGAAAATGGAAGCCAGAGTATGAATGTTGGTACCATGACTGAAGGACTAAATGATCTTTTAGTGTCTTTTTAAATATTAAACATTTTGTGGGATGGACAAGTATGCTATTACATGATTTGAAGAATTTTGCTCTACTTTTTGGTGTATATATATATATATATATATATATATATATATATATATATATATATATATGTGTATATTTAGGCAGCAATTTTCATTAATGCATGTTTCATTAAATAATTTAGATAATGATAATGTGATTAACCTTATCAGACAATATGAAAGGAACTTATTTAAAATAAATAGACAAAACTTGTCTATATTTAATGAAACATGCATCAATATATATATATATATATATATATATATATATATATATATACAGGGTGTGATCGGTAAATTCTCACATTTTCTGTTTTTAATTTTGTGTGTGTGAATTGTTTGTTTGATTTTATTGACTCCACATTATAGTAGGGCTGGTTGGGCACTATCTATGAGAAAAAGAGCACTATGATGCAATTCATTCCACCTGGAAATGGCTATATATATATATATATATATATATATATATATATATATATAGTCTAAAGGGTGAAATGCATCACACAAAAATTTTTCCCCTTTATCATACATTTTTCCCCCAAAATATTTATAATAGATAAATATTAATAGATAAATTTAGTATCTATGATTTAGTATTTATCATAGATGTATTAATCATGGATTAGTATTAATCATAAATTAGTATTAAACATAGATAAGTATCAATCATGGATGTAGTGATCATAGATTAGTATTAATCATAAATTAGTATTAATCATAGTTGCATTAGTCATAGATTAGTATTAATCATAGATTAGTATTAATTATAGATATATTAATCATAAATTAGTATTAATCATAAATTAGTATTAATCATAGATTAGTATTAATCATAAATTAGTATTAATCATAGGCATATTAATCATAGATTATTATTAATCATAGATTCGTATTAATTATAGATGTGTTAATCACAGATTAGTATTAATCATAGATTAATACTAGTCATAGATTACTATTAATCATAGGTGTATTAATCATAGATTAGTATTAATCATAGATTAGAATTAATCATAAATTAGTATTAATCTGCATATAATTTATGGTTTATTTGATGATGAAATCTGAATATTTCGTTCATAATTTTATACTTTCAGAAAAAAATATGTTTTTTTAGAAACATACTTTGTAGATGATAAGATGTATTATTAGTAATTTTTTATGAAAATGTATTGCTGGAAATTTGATTTTAAAAATGTATTTTTATACTTTTTTAATGTTGTATTGCCATTTTCTATAAAAATATATTGTTGGACATTTTATTATAAAAATGTATGGTTGGTAATTTTATTACAAAAATGTACTGTTGATTTTTGTTTGGAGATTTACTACTTTCCCATAACTGGGACCCTAACAGGTGCTACCACCCTCGGTCAGGGTGGACCTGGAAACAACTGCAATTAAGTGGTGCTTCCATGCTCCTCAAAACCTCCAGTCTCTTGATCAGAGGTCATGTTGCCGGATGTAGTTTATCATCATACCCAGCATGAAAGAAAGAAAAAAGAAAGAAAGAGAAAAAACATAGCAAGAAGATTTACTTATAGCTGTGATCCTAACAGGTGCTACCACCACAGGTTAATGTGGACCTGCAAACAAAAGCAGTTAAGAGGTGGTTACCTACTCCTCAAAACCTTTACTCTCCTGGTTGGAGGCCTTGTTGCCGCATGTAGTTTATCATCATACCCAGGACTGCAGAATAAATGCAAATGAGAGTAGATAGATAGATAGATAGATAGATAGATAGATAGATAGATAGATAGATAATGAGCAAACAGACAGATAGATAGATAGATAGATAGATAGATAGATAGATAGATAGATAGGAATCACAATTGGAACCCTAATAGGTGCTACCACCCCAGTTCAATGTGAACCTAGGAACAACAGCAGTTAAGAGGTGATTCCCTGTTCCTCAAAACCTCCAATCTCCCAATCAGAGGCCTTGCTGCCAGATGTAGTTTATCATCATACCCAGGACTGCAGAATAAATGCAAATGAGAGTAGATAGATAGATAAATAGATAGATAGATAAATAGATAATAACCAAACAGATAGATAGATAGATAGATAGATAGATAGATAGATAGATAGGAATCACAGCTGAAACCCTAACAGGTACTACCACCCCAGTTCAATGTGAACCTGGGAACAACAGTAGTTAAGAGGTGATTCCCTGTTCCTCAAAACCTCTAATCTCCAAATCAGAGTCCTTGCTGCCGGATGTAGTTTATCGTTATATGGAGTTATAGGTAAAATTAATTTTGCAAGCTGTCGTCTGACTGATTCTAGCTCTTCCTGTGCTTGCTTTAATCCTCTTCCTCAATCCATTTTACTGTTTCTTTTCTTGTCATATTGATGTGTGAAAATTTATAGACATTGATTGTATTGGGAGAAAAACAAATGACGTGGTATTCAGATATGTGTTTACTGGTTTTCTACACAATGTTGCATGGGTGCTGGCCTATGAAACAATGGTTGGAGGGTAGAAGAGAAAAAGTGAGGGGATAGGGAAGGAGTAGAACAAATATAGGAAGTGCTTGAAGGAAGAGAGGGAGAAAGAGAGAAGGAGAGAATAAATGGGAGCAAGAAGAATTGAGAGGAAGAGGTGGAGACGAAAAGAAGAGAGTAAGAAAAGAAACAGAAAAGAAAAAGGAAGTAGGGAACAGAGAATGTGAGAGAGGAGAATAAAGATAAAGAGAGCAAATATAGAGAGTAAAAATGGAAGTAGTGTGAGGAGAGGAGAGTAAGAAAGAAGAATAAGTAGTGGACATCAAGGAAGCTGACACAGAAATGTCAATGAAATAGGGAAGGAAAATTAATAGTGGGTTCAGAATGGAGAGTAAGAAGTGGAAATGAAAGGAGAGCAAGGAAAAAAAGAAATGAAAAGAGAGTAAGAGAAAAGAGGAAATGAATGGTGAGTAAGGAAATAAAAGGAGTGGACAGGAGGTGAGGAAGTGAAAAGAGAGTAAAGAAAGAACAGAAATAAAAGGAAATGAAAGGAGAGTAAGGGAAGAGAGCAAAAGAAAGGAGAGTAAGGGAAGAAAGGAAATGAAAGAAGAGTAAGGGAAGAGAGCAAATGAAAGGAGAGCAAAGGAAGAAAGGAAATGAAAGGAGAGTAAGGGAAGAGAGCAAATGAAAGGAGAGTAAAGGAAGAAAGGAAATGAAAGGAGAGTAAAAGAAGAGAGGAAATGAAAGGAGAGTAAGGGAAGAAAGGAAATGAAAGGAGAGTAAGTAAAGAGAGCGAATGAAAGGAGAGTAAAGAAATAAAGGAAATGAAAGGAGAGTAAGGAGAAAAAAGGAAATGAAAGGAGAGTAAGGGAAGAGAGCAAATGAAAAGAAAGTAAAGAAATACAAGGTGAATAAGGAAATAAAAGAAATGAATGGAGAGTAAGGAAAGAGGAAAATAAAATGAGAATCAGTAAAAAGAGAATGGAAAGACAAATGGAGAGCAAGGAGTATGAGCAAGTAAGAAGCAAAGATTAAGCATGGAAAGTAAAGAGTTGATTGGTGCGATTGAATAGAGGAAGAAAAATAAATATGAAAAACCTGAGAAGAATTCATTTGGACGAAGGATGAAACAGATTGGAGAGCATGGATGAAGAACTGAGTTTGTTGATGATGTTGCAATTACTGCCAGTGGTGGTGGGAGGGAAATGTTCATTTAGGTAAAGTGTGTGGAAAGCTTCCTTACTTTGTGGGGATCCTGAGCTATGCCTGACCAGCCAGGAGACAAACATTGGTCTGGGTATGAGGTTGCCCAGGAAGACGGTTGTTGAATGAAGTTTGACAGTGGAAGCCAGAGAACAGTTAGAGGCAGGGTGACATGATTTAAGAACGAGAGACATGCCAGCAACAAACAACACTGCATAAATGCATGCTTCCCTTGAGTTGGGAGAATGGAATGTGCTAGCTGAATATGGCAGTATGACGACAGAATGTTTGGATAGAAGAGTTACCAGATAATATTTATAGCTGCCAATATATATGTATATGTTGCATCAATATTGAACAGTAGTTAGTTTTGAGAATTACTTTTGAGCAGTGAGTTCGAGCCTTGCAGGATGTCCCTAGATCTATAGCAATTGTAATATAGTAACAACTCTACACACTTGTGCAAATTAATTGAAAGAACTGCTTTAGTTTTCTTTCTTTCACCATACGGTCAGTTTTAGACTCAATGGAATGACAGGGTGTAATCGATTTCTATTTTTTCATTAGATTCGGTCATTTGCATTGTTGTACAGTAATATGAATCTATTTTTGTGTATAGTTTCTGTGATGTACTTATAAGGTATTTACAAAAGCATTATATACACCCTTGTGCAAATTAATTGAAAGTACTGCTTTAGTTTCCTTTCTTTCACCATACGGCCAGATTTAGACCCACTGGAGTGACAGGGTGTAATCGATTTCTGTTTTTTCCTAAGATTAGGTAATTTTCAGTAGTGCACAGTAACATGAATCTGTTTTCGGGTGTATGATGAAATTTGTTTGGCCTTGAAAAATATTGCATCATCCGTGATTGCATCAGATTTTCATCATTGTCTCAACTGTCAGTTAGTTGTCCTACAGCCATTGTCTGTGATGGATGTTACTCCAAGGAAGCGTACAAAAATTGTAACGCTGCACGAACACACTGGCAAGCGTTACCAGTGAGCAAATCAAAGTACTGGCTTGAAAACTCTCCTGATTTAAATCCAATCGAGAATCTGAGGTCAATCTGTAAGGAACAACTTCATGGAATGGTCATACGAAGTACTAACGTGTGCACTTTGTCATGTTTCATTAGAAAAATACGTAAAAAGTAAATAACAGAATTATTTGTTTTGTTTTAATTAATTTGCGCAAGAGGGTATGTAGAAACTTACAAAGCTTTATTTGACTCATTCTGTTTTTATGCTGAAAAACATTTATTTTATTGTGATGGATGGTTACAAGTAAGAGGGGAGATGTGATGTACTTATTTTATTACCACAGTCTAGTAGGTATTTTTATTTGTTTAGTGGTTGTCTCCATGTTGATTTGGGGATGTTTTGGGGGGCAGGAATTGGCTGGTTAACTTTAATGCCCCCAAAACAAAACTGCTCTCTATTAATCACCACAGAGATCCTTCCCTACCCTCCATTAGAATGTCTGACGCTCAACTTCCCGAGAACACCTCTCTGCAGCTGCTCGGTCTCATGTTGATGGCTGACCTGAGATGGAACAAATACATTGAGTCAATTGCTTCGTCCACCGCAAGGAAAGTTGGCTCCCTGTGCCGTGCCAGGAAATTTTTCTCCCCAGAATCAATCCTTCAGATCTACAAATTAACAATTCGCCCTTGCATAGACTATTGCTGCTATATATGGTCTGGAGCCCCTTCTGTTTGCCTCGGGGTTCTTGATAGGCTCCAAAGGCAGATATGCAATATAATTGGCCCTTTTCTGGCATCTTGTCTACAGTCGCTCTCTCACAGACGCGCCGTCGCCCCTCTCTGTCTTTTTTACAAATACTTTCATAGCAATTGCTCCAAGGAGCTGCATTCACTGGTTCCTAGACTTCAGGAATTCAAGCGCCTTACGAGGCCGTCATCCCGCTCTCACCCTTTTACTGTCGAAACTATTAAATGTATCCATCTCTTCTACTCCAATAGCTTCATATCTCGCACCTCTCACCTGTGGAACTCCCTTCCCTATTCCAGTTTCCCTGAGAGCTATAATCTCCAACTATTCAAATGAAATGTCAATCGACATCTCCAGTTGCCTTGATCTATCCACTATCTTTCTCCTCATCCTTTCCTCTATCACTCCTATCTGATTTTGCTCCAAATCTTGTGTAACCTCTTGCGTCCTAGTGGCTTCCCACCCTGCTTGGGGTGAAACGCTTAAAAAAACCAATAAGTAGTAATAAGTAGACATAGCTTTAAGGGAAGAATAAAACATTTACATTTTACTGTCTATAAACACACGCCAAAGACACTATATTACATTACTAATTTTTATAAAATCTATACTTAAAGAATCTAAGCTATGTTGATTTTTTAAGCATAGCTTAAATGTGGCACAAGGACAAAAGTGTGGAGTACCCAGTGAGGATCGAACTTATGATTCAGTTGTAATTGATGCAGCAACACAACCATTATACCACATCAAGGTGCTTGAAGCCATGTCTACTTATTACAATTACTTATTACTTTGCGTTCTGATATAATGGAATAACCAGTCACCCCCATGAATGATTATACTATAGATAGTAAGTAGCTATAAAGTCAACTGTCTACAAGAGACTCGAGGAAGAGTGAGAGCCAGACGACGCAAGCACGTCCGACCTTCTAATTAGTGGCACTCACTACTAGATTGACCTGTGTATATAACTGTACTATATTTCATATTGTACTGGTTGTGTACAATAAACCTTTCTTCTATTATCCACCTGGTGTTAAGTATTTATTCCCTTAGCATGGAATATAACACTTTTCTCAAGGGATAACGTATAAAGCTTATCATTCAAAAAGTTCCCAAGACACATCAAGCACATGTTCTACACAAGTATACTTAAATATACAATGTAATCTCTTAAAAGTACTGTTGATTTTTGTTTGGGCG